CTGGTTCATGTTTAACAAAACAAGGTCACAGAGGTTGTCAGGCCATGAATTCCATAAATAACTTGATAATGGGATTTTAAAACAAGCCTTCCACCAGTCATCTCCAGTCCTCTCACACCCTCCCTTTTGCCCATAACTGGCCCTATGTGTGTGTGTGTTTTCAGAAAAGAGAGAATATTAGAATGCAAATAGATTCACACCGCATCCTCATAAACAACGGTGTTCATTTAACCCTCGACCCCTGCATTTAACTGCCCATCAAGTCATTTGTGTTGTGCAAGACACGTGGAAGTAGGATGAGGGAGTCCAGCAGGCGTGTGCATGCATGTGTGTCTGTGCATCTTATGAAAAGGCAGACTTCTAGCTGTGTGCAGATAAATGTGTGTTTATGCATCCAATATGTATGTTTGTGTGCATATATCAGTGTTTGGGTTTTAATCTCTACTTCTCATCTGTGTGTCCACACCTGCATCTGTGTGCATGGGCCCATCTTCCAATTTTTTTGGTGTGGGTTTCAGAGATTAGCATTTGCGATGCTCAATTAATCTTGTCAGCATGCATTTACAGGGGAATTGAACACCTTTTAAAGTGGGCCTGGCTTTGTCACTGTCTCCCTCTGCATCCATTACAGAAACACATTCTCTTCGGAAAAGCCACAGAATGCGGCTGATTAAAACATATTAAGGCATTGGCAGGGATGAATGTCAGCCAGGTTTACACACTTCCAATCCTGTTTGAACCTCTTAAAAATCATTTAGAAAAGTGTTCACATATCCATTTTAATCACTTTGTTTTCTTTTTCTTGATTTTATTCTCTTATTATTATTATTATTATTATTATTATTATTATACACCAATCAGACATAACATTATGACCACCCTCTTTATAGTGTGTTAGTCCCTCTATTGTTTTTTTCTTCTTTTTTTATTTTGTAAGTTGACCAACAGGAAATGGGGTGGAGAGAGAGGGGAAGACATTGAGCAAAGGTCAGCAGGCTGGGACTCAAACCTGTTCCGGCTGCATCAAGGACTGTACCCTCCATACAAGGGTTGTGCGCTTTGGCTCTGCACTCTGGACCCTCTTTTGATGCCTAAACTGCTCTGACTGGACAAGGCATAAACTTCACAAAACAATAGCACCTTGAAGGTGTGCTAGGGTATCTGGCACTGAAATGTTAGCAATTGATCTTTAACTCATGCATGGAGCGAGATGAGGCCTTCATATTGTCTATCTAGCACCTCCCACTGTTCCCTGACTGGATTCAGATTTGGGCAATTTGAAGACCAAATCAACACTTCAAACTTGAATTTGACTGTTGTCATTACATTTGTTATTGATGATCAGACACATTTATGTGTGACAAAAAAGCAAAAGCAGAATAAATTTGTAAGGGGCCAAATACTTTCATGCTGTCGACTCACAGTGGCCAAAATAAAGATTAGATCAGTGTTATTTATGTCACCTATCAGTGGTCATAATGTTATGGCTGCTTGCAGAAAATAAACAAATACCTTTGATTCTTCTTTCTGTTTCAAAATATCATAGTGATTCTTCAGTTCAGTTCAAAGGAGCAGCTTTCACACATTGCAACAGTTATGCTTCTTTTTCCTCCTTGCCCGAGGCTTTTTACCCACAGGCATGCAGCTATCTCATCTTTTCACTGTTAGAAAAGCTTCAATAAAAGCTGACAGTGGGGGAAATAGTGGACAATGGCAAAAATAGAACTCTGCAAACAACACAAATGAGAATGAGTAGGGATTAAACCAGGATAGGGACATAAAAGAGCCGTCTAATGGTGAAATTTAGTGAGGATCAGCAGAGAAGGTTGAATTTATAAGAGGTAAAAATGTGAGATTTTTTGGGTGAGTTTCCCCGCCAGCAGCTTTGCCCCAGAGAGTCTCAATTCTTTTGACTGCCTTGGAAACATACATAGTTCACCTACTATACGGAAAGGAATAAAAGAAAAGCTGAATAATAAAAGAAAAGACTGAAGTCAAGTTCTTAAACCAAAAAAGGTGGATGACAGATAAGTCAGTTAGTCATGCTGTTAACAGGGATATAAGAAGAGAATCAGAGGAAAAGTAAGAGCAAGCAGAGCTTGTTCTAAGAGGGTGCACAGTGTTCAGCCCCCTGTCTCTTAATCCTGGGCGTTTGTCGTGGCTAATTATGGTGGACAAGCCTCTTTATCGAACCTGCTCCTGCCATCAGCATTAGGATGCATGAGCTGCGCCTGTTGTTTTAAACGCTCTCATTAACCACACAAATCAGTGCTGTTGACAGAGTGCTTTTGAATTAAGCGTCTCACCCCCGCCGCCGCGCGCCAATGCTTGCAGGGCCCAGGACAAGGAGCAATTTATAACACCATTAGCCACACTCGCCGAGGTTACAGGCATCAAAATTGTTCACGTCTAATTATTCTTAATGGATACAGGGAGAGAGCGACGCTCAGGACAGCTTTTTCATTAGCCCTCAATCAAGAGGGTCGGGGGAGAGAGGGGTGGGCCAAATGTACTGCTCAGGCAAACGGGAAATCAAAAATAATCATGTTTGCTTTTTTCATAATACAACACGAATGCATATATTGAAGGGGTGGGAGGGCTTGAGTGAGGAGAGAAAAAGGAAGCTCTGCTCTTGACATTATAAGAATCCTTACTGTTTTGAAGACACACACACATTCACACTGTGAGAAGTGACAGTTCATTTGCTTTTACTACTTTGCAGTCTAATGGCAGAATAAACTTAGGCTTCTAAGCCATTGTTATTGCTTAATAAATGCAAAAGTGAAGTACAAAAAGGAAAACAGTTAATTCTTAAGAGATGAGAGCTTCACCCTTGTGCTCGCATGTTTGATTGGTCACTTTAAATAATTACAAATTAGTAGGGGTTCAAAATGTTTTAAAACACCAATAAACAATTCAGCAATCGACAACTAATAAAACAGTGGCTGACAAGAGGCTAACCCAGAAAAATCAGCTGAAACTTAATTGTAAGTATTTTACTAGTGCAATATTCACTCACCTGCCTCTCTATTAGGTTCACCTTTTAATGGCAAATTCGCCAGGACGTACTGTTCTACTAAGATTTTCACACTCAACCATCTCTCAGATTTATAAAGAATGATCCAGAAAAGAGAAAACATCGAGCTAGCTGTGGTTTGGTCAGAGGAGAATGGGTAGAGGATTGAAGCTTCAAGAGAAACGAACGAAAATTGAAAACTGTAATTAAAAGGGAAAACTATAACTGTAACTGCATTGTGGGTTTAGAAAACTAACTAAAACAAATTGAAAGTATAGATAGAATACCCTTTCTTTTCATTAATTTATTTATAGCCTTCCAAACTGATGTGAAATGGGATTTTTTTCCACATAAGCAGTTTACATCAACTGTTGGCACCACTGATGTGGTAAATAGTAAATGGTAAATGGACTGACCACTCAAAGTGCTTTACACTAGAGCCACATTCACCCAGTCACACTCCCAAACACATTCATACACCAATACACATATTGGTAGGCAGCTTAAGGTAACATGCCTTGCCCAGGGCCAGATGGCACATTACTAAATATATGGATTTTATTTTTTTATTTAACCTTTATTTAACCAGGTTAAGGTCCCACTGAGATTAAAAACATATTTTTCAAGAAAGTCCTAGCAAGACACAGCAACAAGTAAAACACAATTATTGTTACACGAGTAAAAATAAACTATAATAGTGCTCCAATTTTATGGTGTGTACTTCCAGGGGGCTAATGCACCACGTCACAAAGCTCAGACCATCTCAAACTGGTTTCTTGAACTTGAAAATTAGTTTTCTGTACCCAAATCGTCTATACAGTCACATGATCTCGATCCAGTAGAACACCTTTGGAATGTGGTGGAATGAGAGATTACCTTAGCGGATGTGGAACCAACTCATCTGTAGTAGCTAAATTAAGGTATCATGTAAAAATGTAAAATGTTTCAGACACCTTCAAGAATCTATTCCAAGAATAATTAGGGCAGTTCTGAAGTCAAAAGGAGGGGCTCCAACCCTGGCAAGTATGGTGATTGTAATAAAGTGGCCAAATTGACGGTCATGTAGTTTCAGTGAATGATCTGGTTTCAAAAGCCAGAGTGCTTCCTGCTTGCAATTATATCCCCAAGGAGGGCTCAGTCATACGGTTTCTGTCATCCTGCTGTGGCACCCAGAAGAGAAAAAGAAGGAAGCCAAATAGTGAGTGTTAACATTTTTTACAAGCCAAATAGTGAGTGTTAACATTTTTTACAAGCCATTAAATGGAGGGGGATTACCACATGACACAGTCCCTTAACGAGGACTGACATATGTGCTGAAGGCACTTAGCACCTAACATTAAGAAGCCACAATCCACAGATGAGATAGGACATTGTCCATGGGGGAGGTATCTGTTTTAATTAAGGGATAATCGACGGTGCTCTACATTTCCCCTAACTAGGATAACGGCTTTCCTCTCCCCCCACCTTCACTATAATACGATATGGCTTATTATTATGGTGGAGACTGGGAATTAACTAGCAATGGATACATGGTGAATGAATGTGGCACAAGGAATGTAAAACATGAATCTCGGTCCCTGTCTGTTCGTATGGTCATCCTCCTCTTACTGTTGAGATCAGACATGCAGATAAATTGGATATTTATTATGGTATTTAAAAAAAAAGGTGTTATCTTTAATTCTTTATTTACCAATAAGACTACTCATAACGTAAAAAAATATGAGTATACTTACAATACAGTGTAACCGATGCTCTGCAGGCTTGTGCAGCAATTCTGCTAACTCTCTGAAGCTTGTTTGTTTCTTTAGACTGTGGCAATTCTTTTACTCACTTTTAGTCCAGTACTTAAACCTGGTCATTTTTCGCATACTTATTATTATTTGAAGAATAAAATAAGACAGGGAAGTTTCAATGTTGGCTGGACTTGACTAGGTCATTCTAACACTTGAATATGATTTGAATATTGTATTGTACCTCTAACTGCGGCTGTACGGTGGCGCAGTTGGTAGAACTGTTGCCTTGCAACGGCTGTGCGATGGCGCAGTTGGTAGAACTGTTGCCTTGCAGCAAGAAGGTCCTGGGTTCGATTCCCAGCCGGGGGTCTTTCTGCATGGAGTTTGCATGTTCTCCCCGTGCATGCGTGGATTCTCACCGGGTACTTCGGCTTCCTCCCACAGTCCAAAGACATGCCTGTTAGGTTAATTGGTCACTCTAAATTGCCCTTAGGTGTATGAATGAGTGTGTGCTTGGTTGTTTGTGTGTTGTCCAAGGTGTAACCTGCCTCTCCCCCATAGACTGTTGGAGATAGGCACCAGCTCCCCCATGACCCACTATGGAATAAGCAGTAGAAAATGACTGACTGACTGATCTCTAATTGCTTGTTTATGATCACTGTCTTGTTGAAAGGTGAACTGCCACTTCTCTCTCCAGCCTCTAACAGGTTTTCTTAAAGAATTGCCCAGTATTTAGCACCATGCATCTTATTATCAACTCTGACCTGCCTCCTTTTCCTGCTGAAGAACAGCATTCCCACAGCTTGACTGTGCTCTTGATAGATGAGACCAAAGTTAAACATACTTGCCTACATGCAAAGTGCTATGTGTGATTGAAAACTAACACTGTATATCAACCTGAACACGGCATCGCCACAGTAAAACATGGTTGTGACAGCATCATGCTATGGGGATACTTTTAGAAATACCTTAAAAATCTTTAGCAATACCTTCACCTCCCTGTCTTTGTAATACAGCCCATGTGTGGATCCTCTTTCTATCACCACCTCACATCACCTTACTGTCTGTTAGTAACAACAGACAGTAAGGTAACAGTTGGTAAAGCTTCCAATATTTTGGTGGCATTTCTGACACATTCCTAATTACGGCCACTTAACAGGTATACCGATAATGTAATGTTTTGAATAGACCAATTGGCCTAAAAGATTTGAATGATTAAACATATTCTGCAGTTCTATGAGCACTATGAAGTATCAACCTAGCCTCCAAACTCTGATCCTATTCTGATTATTTCACTCCCATACACCGAAACAAGCCTGAGCCACTGAGATCCAAGGGTTAGGGTTAGGGTTAGGGTTAGGGTAGAGTTAGGGTGAGGGTAGGGTGAGATTAGGGTTAGGGACTGTCTATTGCCATAAAGAAGAGAACACAATCCTTAATACCAGGTGCACTGACCTGAAGACTAGTTTACACAGTGCCTTGCAAATGGATTCATAGTTCTTGATTTGTTTCCATTTGTTTCCCTCTGTTTCCCTCTGTTTACTCTGGTACCCATAAATAAAATTCAGAGCCCCCAAATGACTTTAGAAGTCACCTAATTAAAGTTTGTTCTGAATGAAATGCATTGAAATATAACAGAATGCGAAAAATTTCACAGTGCATGAATATCTTAGCAAAATAAAAGCAACAATATAACAAAATAAAGGAATTTACCTTTATAAAGATAATAAAAGCAACAACAGTTTGTTGTTTTTACTTTAATGTATTAGATTTTTGCAGTGCTGAGGGGGTGGACTAGTCAGGGATGATGTAAGTATGGCACATGGCAAAGTTTCCCAGGCCATCCTCTCTGGTCTTCAGGGCATCTGGAGGTACTGAGGAAGACAGAATCAGGATAAGCATCCCTCGTGTTCCCCAGTTTAGCCCATAGCATTTTATGTCACGATCAGGAAACAAAAGAGGAGCACATGCTAGAGTGCACACTGTTGGCATATGTGTGCATGAGAGCAGGTAAAGTGTGAGGTAACTGTGTTAGAAAAAGTGGCAAAAACACAAAACCCAGAAGTCTGAAATCTTTAACTTGAATGCCGACTGTTAGAACATCCTGGAAGAGTAGAACTTTCCACCAAAAAGTAATATTTATAGGCCTTTCTAATATCTAACTGAATCACCGTGGGGTAACTCGACCAGGATAACGACTTGCTCACCCTCTTTTTCACAAAGCCCCCTGGCAACAGTGATGTATGTTGCCGGACAGGCCAGAATCATGCCTTCCAGCAGAACTAGCCAATCATATTGAATTATACTCCCCAGGAGCCGGAGCCACATGTCAGCGGACATTTGGGCAAGGCAAAGCTTCGTTTGTTTGGTCAGCCTGTGCCCTGAAGACAAATGCCCTAGCTTCCATTTGAGGTAGGCTGGCAGATATGTCCTTCTCTGTGTGTGGCCACAGGTAATCCAGCAGGAGAGGATTCAAGGAACTATCATAGTGTGAAATCTAACAAGAAGCATAAACTGTTCAGGTTGACCTGTGACATTAGGCTTCTCCTATTGAAATCTGAGGCATGGACCCTTAATATACAGTGCACATTTTTCAGAAAATACTTTTACAATCTTTCAACAAGCATTATTTTAATTTTTTTTCATTAAAACACGTTAATTTACAGAGAAAAATATGCTGTGCCTTGCAAAAGGATTCATACCTTATAAACATTTTACATTTTGTCACATTACAACCACACACCTCAATCATATGTTCTAGGGAAATTACACAAAGTAGCGTATTTCAGTAGCCAGTCGCCAGCAATTTTTAAGTCTTTAAATGGTCCGGTCCAGTTCAATGACTGGACTTAAATTACATACAGGTGAACTCCATTTAGTAGATATGTGACTTTGGATGACACGTTTGTCATGTTTTTATTTACAGTACATTTTAAAATCCTGAAAAAACACAATACAGTATGAGGTTGTAAAACGACAAATCTGTGGTTCAAGGGGTCAAATGTTTAAGGGGTATACTTTTGCAAGGCACTTTACATTGTTTTTCTTTTTCAGGCTACGGAATTGTGTCTTTATCTTTCCTGTAAGACCAGATACTGAGTTTAACTGTAGCCTGTTGTTGAACATATAGACAGTTTTTGGAAGGTTTCTAAATATGTCACTCTCACTAACAAGGCAAGCTTGTTCTACAAATCAGGTAAGATAAAAATATTTGACATATAACATTTCATGGCCCTTTTCTTTGTGCATTTGCGAAGGGCAGTCTTCTACTTATTTCCTAACAATATCTTTCTAATGTATTCTTTTTTGACTTATTCTGAACTAGTCTCTTAGTGCTAGAACCTGAGGTTTGTCGTGAATAAAAATACAATAGATTCGGAACATAGTGTTTAAGAAATAAAGGTTGTCAATCAACCAATTATAAACAGTTTTATCAATGCACATCCTAGAAATGGAAAAACGCAGAAAAGCGTGGCAATTAAGTAAGACTAGGAGACAGCGATAAGCTGTGATTAATATTCTATTAAAGCCAGAGGAATTTCCTTTCACAGTAATTAGGCTTTTATTAAGCCGATTTGTAACCCCTAAAGTGTTGCAGACAATGCTAAATGCCAAGATACAACACACTCCGCAGCAAATATACATTTCACTCGTAGTCTTTTCTGTCTCCTCATACAGACATGATGCTACAGACAATACTGCTTAAAAGTCTTGAGACAAGTCAGACTGGTTTTCATTTTAGCTCCGAGGACCAAGATTTCCTTATAACTATTTTCTTTACTAAGCTTTAAGGAAAATCTTGGTTTTTCTTGGTATCGCTTACAGTGTGGATTTGAGTAATTAGATGAAACTGGAGTAGTTGAACAAATGAAGAGACAAGTAAAAAAAAAAAAAACTCCTTCACAGTATGTGTTTGTACATGGTAGATTTAGGAAGGCGAAATAAAACAATCCATCCTGACCTGACAAAAGACCTCAGAGATAATGTACACCACCCTTCAGTTATTTATCTAATGAGAGCCAAGTTTGCATTTAGTAGCTGTTTAAGAATCCCCTTATTGGTGAAAACCATTATGGTCTGTCAGGCTGTCACCCAGAAAAGTAAATCCTCTTTAAACAAAGTTCTTAAAAATGCAATTGTTTGGGTTCCATAAACTCTGTCTGTCTGTAACTTATATTCATAAAACTGGGTCTTTTATTAGGTTGTTTTTGTTTTTTAAGCTTGACATAATGGGTCAGTCTTGTGTATCAAAACAGGAACAAATGTTTTTTTGTTTTTTTTTAATACCAATAATCAGAGACTGGACTTATCATAGTCTGTGTCATTACTAAATTCACTATGTTAAGTTAAGACAAAATGCTTCCAAACTTTGTCCAAGTTGTTCCAAATCAGACAAAATAATCATGACGTCCTTTATTATCTTGGGTGAGTGCTTCAGGTTGTTGCGTTGGAAGATACATTGCCGCCCAAACATCCTGCTTTAGTCAGGCAGGATGCTTGGAGTTCAGGCCAAAAAGTGCTGTTTTGCTTTCATTAGACCAGAGCATTTTGTTTCTCCTGGTCTTCCTTTTTGGCAGATGTAAGCATCCTACCATGTGCCTTTTAGCCATAAAGTGCTTATTCTAGAATTTAGACCTGATTGGTGGAGTGTGTTACCAACTGTTGAAATCGTGTATGTCTCCCCTTTCTGTGAGAGGGGATAATGGAGCTCTGTCTTGGTAATTATTGGGTTCATGATTACCTCTCTGATCAAGGCTGTTCCTTCTTGGTTACACACTTTGGTTAGACAGCAAAATATAGGGACGCTCCTGATAATTCCAAACTTCTTACATTTCCAAAGAGCGGAGATCTCAATGCTTTCCATTGATCAAATGTCCTAATTATTTTGTATCCTTTCTCAGATTTGTGCCTAGTCCGATCTCGGAGAACTACAAGCAATTCTTTTAACTTCATTATTTAGTTTTGCTCTGATATTCACTGTTGACTGTTAGAACTTATATAGACAAGTGTCAGTCAACTGAATTTACCACAAGTGCAAAATGTTTTCCACAGCTGAACTCCAATCAAATTGCAGAAGCATTTCAAAGATGATCAATGGAAATCATATTCAACTTTGCTCAGTTTTAAGCTTTATGGCAAAGGGTTTGAATATTTATGTGCCTATTATGTTTCAAAGTTTAAATTTTTTATAAACTCAGAAAAATGCCTGGCTATTTTGTATACGTTTTTTTTTTTTTTTTTTAAGTAGGCTATACTTCAATTGATATTGTGTCAATTTCTGGTTGTACAGTACTTCCTACAGAAGTGGGGTGTACATTCTAAGTTTTAATGTTCTGTTGTTTATTTGTTATTATATGAATCCATTTCCTTG